GAAGCCGGCTCATGCCAGGTCACTGCTGCACCTCTGGCGAGGCTGGACCTCTGTAGGTTCAGGTGATCTCTGCCAGCGTGATTCCTACAACACAAAACTCAGAAGAAGGGTTAGTTGCAGCAATTAATGTCCATTGTGCAATTTTAGTTCATGGGTTATTTTCACCCATATCAAATCTCCTTGAGGTACACATCGGACTTGCCCATCTTCTCTCTTTACCCACCAAGTCCATCCAGATATATGACCCTTCTGGAGGTTATCATCATCCCATCCTCTGAAGTCCTGGAGTCTGATGCCTGTAGACAGGATGTGCAAGTTCTTCTAGAAGCATGAAAATTCACTTGTGCGGTAACCTCGTCTTTCTCATTTTCTTAGGGTTAAACGAACTGCTGGATTTGGAAGGGATTCCCCTCCTCACATTAGGCTGACAAGAACAACAGAATGACATTTCCTTTTTTTTTTTTTTTTCCTTTTGGTTTTCCACCGTCTCATAGAGCACGTTCAGATTCCTGGACGCACCTGGAAATGTTGCACTGCAAATGCCCTGCCTCTGCTTTGTAAAGCCTTTGACACTGTTTCCCAGAGCATTCTCCTGGAGAAACTGGCTGCTCATGGCTTGGACAGGTGTACCCTCCTCTGGGTGAAGACTGGCTGGATGGCTGGGCCCGAAGAGTTGTGGTGAATGGAATTAAATCCGGTTGGAGGCCGGTCAAAAGTGGTGTTCCCCAGGGATCAGTAATGGGGCCAGTTGTGTTTCATACCTTTATCAGTGATCTTGATGAAGGGATCGTGTGCACCCCCAGTCAGTTTGCAGAAGATGACAAGTTGGGTGGGAGTGTTGATCTGCTGGAGGGTAGGAGAGCTTTTCAGAGGGCTCTGGACAGGTTGGATCGAAGGGCTGAGGCCCATTGTGAGAGGTTCAACAAGGCTAAATGCTAAATCCTGCATTTGGGTCACAATCACCCCATGCAGTGCTACAGGCTTTGGGAAGAAGGGCTGGAAAGCTACCCAGTGGAAAAAGACCTGGGAGTTTTGGTCGACAGCCAGCTGAATAAGAGCCAGCAGTGTGCCCAGGAGGCCAAGAAGGCCAACGGCATCCTGGCCTGTATTGGGGACAGTGTGGCCAGCAGGAGCAGGGCAGGGATCGGCCCCCTGTACTGGGCACTGGTGAGGCCGCACCTCAAACCCTGTGTTCACTTTTGGGCCCCTCACTGCAAGAAAGACACGGAGGGGCTGGAGCGTGTCCAGAGAAGGGTGACAAAGCTGGGGAAGGGTCTGGAGAACAAGCCCTGTGAGGAGCGACCAGGGGTGTTCAGCCTGGAGAAGAGGAGGCTGAGGGGAGACTCCCTACAACTACCTGAAAGGACGTTGCAGAGGTGAGTGTTGATCTCTTCTCCCAGGTGACAAGGGATAGGATGAGAGGAAATGTCCTCAAGTTGTGCCAGGAGAGGTTTAGATTGGATATCAGGAAAAAATTTCTTCATGCAAAGGGCTGTCAGGCATTGGAATGGGCTGCCCAGGGAGAATGCCTACGTGAATTAGAGAGATTCACAGCTGCCTTCAGAGGTAGATGGTTTATTATATTGCTAGCTTAAGGGTTGGACTCAACGATCTCAAAGGTCTTTTCGTACCTAATTGATTCTATGATTCAATGATTCTATGCCTGGACTAATTTTCTCTCTCTCTGCTTTCTGTGGTACATGGCTGGTTTTATACCAGGAACTACTGCTACTGAGCACTGCTGCTAATCAAGCCATTCCTTGCAGATTAGACTAAGCATCTCAAAGCCTAATTTACTACTGCATATTTGTCAATATCTACTGCAGAGAAAAGAAAATGAAGCGAATACTCTATTATCAATGCATTTCTGGCTTTACTGAGTATCATGTCCATGAACTCAGAAACACATTACTTAAACGCTTTTGTATTTGTTTCCAGAAGTCTCGGAGTGCCTGAGTTGATCCCATTCACTCTTCCTAAGGTATGAACTAATGCAACAACTAAGGAACAATTCTGTGCTATGAAGTGAGTGGTGACTCTGCAGCAGAAGAGGCCCTGAAGGCAAATGCTGTGTTGGCACTGTTCTGCCTGATAACCTGCCGTGAGTAGCCTTCTCCTTCACACAGAGTCCTGCCAGTGCCTAAATTCCTTCTCCCTCTGCACTCCACCATTCACTTTCACTTCTGTTTGTTCTGTCCTTGCAGGAAACTGAATATTTTTTGACAACAGAATATTGAGGGTTAGTCTCAGGGAATGCAAATAAATCCCTTCCCTAGTTTTACATGTCAGACTTGGCATTGAGGAAGACGATGGCTTTGTCCTCAGGGAGGGCACATTACTGGTTGGTGGCTCACCAGGGATCTATTTTTGCAGCTTGCATTAGGCCACAAAATACTTGTGTTACAAAACCAGAGGAAACTCTAAGTGCTAGAAATTGACTCAGCACAGTCATGTTAGCTAAGCCATATGAAGAACTCTTTTTGTAATCCCTTTGCTCTGTGAGCTGGTTTTGGGTGTGTCAGTCAGAGGAAAGTTTCTCACTAGCAACTAGTATTTTTTCACTCATTTTTCAGATTAAATGACCAATAGCTTCTGCAGATACTCATTGTCTGGCTCAGGTCTTGCTTTCAGGGTGTCCACCTGTGAGCTAGTTTTGCCTGTGTCAGTCAAAGTTTCTCACTAGCAACTAGCATTTTTTCACTCATTTTTCATATTAAATGACCAATAGCTTCTGCAGATACTCATTGTCTGGCTCAGGTCTTGCTTTCAGGGTGTCCACGTGAGTACAGAACTCTTCTCGGTTGTGAAGTTTCATTAATATCTGGGTGTTTCCCCCCAACAAGTTGTCCACTGCCACAGCTCTCCTGGATGCTGAGCAGCTTGCTTGGCCTGAGAATGTGGTCTAGTGGCAATAGAGAGAGATAATTTTTGTTCTGCACTGCAAAAAAAATGTATTACCTGTTAATTCCAGCTTCGGGCAGGCAACTTTGTCTACACTCCCAGACCCACTTCTGAATGGGACTCACCCTCTTTTGCAGACTTTTACTGCCAGGAACTTGCTTTCAGTTTCACCCAGTGGGATAGTTTATCTGCATATGAGCTGAGTAACGTCACTAACATCCAAGGTTCAGTCTTCGAGAATAGAAACTGAAACAAATATAAGACTAATAAAGGGACAGCTATCACCCAAGAGGTGACAGAAAAATCCAGAAATATCCATGGCTGCTGTCACTGATAGAGGTAAGTACATGTGTGTGAAAAGCAGGTCTATTTCTCCATATTCAGTGTAGATATTACTGTAGTTGTATCTAAGGAACTGGTGAATACAGACAACTGTGTTGGCACGTGAAGATACAAAGGAGATACTTGTGGATTTCTGTGTGTTATCTCTTTGAATGCATCAGCGTATGTTGAGTCTTAAGCCCAGTTTCAAAACAGTAATGCGATTTTCCTTAACCCTGATGTGGCATTAGGCAGGAAGAATTCAAATTCCAGAAGACTTCTTAATGTGGAAGGAGATCTCGAAGGTAATTAAGAATGGAGCAAATTAGTTGGCTTATTGTTTCACCTATTTTGTTTTCAATACAGTAAGCAAGTTGAAAAAGCCTCTTAAAAAATCAGTGCAATAAGGCTGTGCAAGGATCTGCAGGTCTCTGTTGATGTGCAAGACTATTTTATTCCTGATGTGTATGTTTCATACTTCCTCCTCTTAAAGACCTAAAAGTCGTGGAAAGGTACCTTTAGTGTCTTAATTCTAAGCAAATTAATTATTTTCTTCATTGAAAGGAGGGTTGTTAGTCCTTAAGTTTGCTATGGATGGACTTTTATAAAAGAAATAACTAGCCTCCATCACCTGCAATTGTTTTCATCTAGACCCTCATCTGAGAAGGGATGAATGAGTCATAGGGTTGAAAAACTTTGCCACCATGAGAGACTAAATGTATATAAGCAGGAAGGTCTGTGGTGCCACCCCATAGGGATTTCTTAGTCAGAAATCACCCTCCTGTCTGCAATGACATTTTTTTCCTTGGTACCGGTTTTTTTTTTCAGCTTTTGAAACAGTTTCATACAAAGAAAAGAAGGAACCATTGGCTGTGAATATGTTTTTGTCTAATGTCTAGATTGACATTATGAATACCAGCAGGAAAATAGCTCAAGTTTTGTAAAAGTCATTTGGAAGATACAAAGGGAGGAGAGATTTAGTTCTGCTCTTTGATTAGTCTGGGAAAAGCAGATGCAGTACTGCTGAAATCAGTGAAGTTAAACCCGAGTGAGTTCACAATCAACCCTAATGTGTTAAAATGAGCAAGAGTTCATGTACAGCATAGTTTAAACAACCATGAAATTTAGCTCCCAGGTAGGAATCAACTACTCCGGCATACCAGCGTGGCTATCCTGCTGTGCAAGGGATTACTTGTTAATCCCTTTTACATAAAAGAGATTTGGCAGTGAGGGTGTAGACTGAAAGGGGCCAGGACAGAAGGTATAGAGGAAATTTTGTTTTCTGATCTACTATCCCCAGTGACACACAAATCTTTTCTATGCAGGTCCTACATCCAGAGACAACAACCAAAGGTAAGACACACAGTTCTATCCCCGTGTGCTGCCTGGGATCCATGGCAATTTCCAGAGACAGGCAAAGCTAAGAAGCCTTGTGCCTTGTTTTCCTCTTACCACCCTTTACCCTAATCTTCCTTTCCAGCTGTGTCACTGCTTGACCAGTGCTGATCTCAGAGTGGTGATGGGGCTGCTTACCCTTCCAACACCTCTGAAGGAGGTGCTGTGGGCCTTTCAACAGGGCCACTTTAGGGGAATAACTCTGGAGCCTTCATCAAATTCCAGATTTAATCATTAGATTGCAACATTCTTCAAGCTGCTCATTTGTGATGGGAAAGGCTGAGAGTGGGATGCTTGTCTGATGCTGGGAGTAGGCAATGCACAATGGGACCAGACATCACTGAAGTGTTGGGATCATAGTACTGCTGGTACTTTTGTTGCAGGTGGAAGATACAGCCAAATGACTTCAAAAGAAATTATATGCCTAGCCAATATCCAAAAGTGGTGTACCTGCTGTATGAAATCAGGTGGAGCAGAGGTACCGTCTGGAGGAATTGGTGCTCAAACAGTTTTACCCAACATGCTGAAGTCAACTTCTTGGAAAATTATTTCAAGCCCATGCCATCAGTTTCTTGCTCCATCACCTGGGTCCTATCTACCACCCCCTGTGGGAAATGCTCCAGAAGAATTCTGGAGTTCCTGAGGGTACATCCCAATGTGACCTTGGAAATATACGCAGCCAAGCTGTTCAAGCACCTGGATATCCGTAACCGGCAAGGTCTCAGAGACCTGGCAATGAATGGAGTCACTATACGTATCATGAATCTTGCAGGTAACCCAACTACCCTTTAGCTTTGTCCAGGTGTGGATTGAAAGTTCTGGGATTATGTGCACTCTCAGCAGTTGTGCTTTGTAGTAGATGTGATGACTGCTGCTGTGGGGAACTAGTGAGAGCAAAAATGCCACTCTCTTCTGCCTTATTTCGTCCCCAATCCCATACAGCAGCAGGACCAGCATGGTCATTTCCTCTTGCCAAACCTGAACAAGGAGAGTTATGTTTTTCTCTAGCCATCCATGCCTCCTTTATATACAGTGAAAAATCCTGAGCATAAGGCAGAACCTGTCCCTCCTAGCATATACATGCAGATCAGCTTGACAGCTGCAGAAAGTAATTAGTTTCCCTTGAGCAGGAGAAGAGGAGGAGACACATCTAAAGGAGACTTTCATATGGTGCATCACAGAGGACAATTGTGTCTTTCATGTGTATCTTTTTGAATGTATATCTTGCTTGCTTATTGATGTCTGGCTGTAAAAAGAGTTCAGAAAAGTAGCTCACAGAAAGGTGTGTACATTTGAAGAGCTGAGTCTCATATACCTGTGTGGATACTTACTAGTGGATTGTGCAGCTGCAAAACCTACGGTTTCAAATGTAAACCTGAAGGACATGGCTTTTCTTGGGGAACCTGTTTCTGGGATTATACCACCAGAGCACTGACAAAAACTCTGGTTATCCTATCAATACTAAGATCAATAGTAAACTGCTAGATGTTAAGGTGTTCATTCCAGGTTTTCCCTGATCGTTAAGTCAGACAGATTCATGACTGAAGCAACAGGTTTATTGTCTTACCCAAAGCTGCTGTGATCAAGCGCAAAGCTGTCAAAAGGTATACCTAAACAGCTCTGACTGCATGTGCCACTTCCCTTTCCAGTCCCTCCCAAAGCAGCAGCTGTCACTCACTGATTCCTTCTCCTTTGGCACACATACTCTGGCTTTATGTGCTCTCTGTGATAGGGGTTGCCCAAGCCACTGTATTAATCTCTCTCTCTCTGGCAATTCCACTTTTTAAACACTGCTATTTGTAGAGTTTTGGTTCCCCTTTCCACTAACTTATTTACGTAGTTGCAAGTCACTGTTTGTCCCTTGCATGAATACCCTCAGATGAATGGCTTTCTCCTGCCCTTTACCATTGTGATACTGAGAAAGAAGTGGCTCACTGACATATTCAGGAAGAAAGAATTGGGCATGCCTTTCATCAAGAGTGACTGGATATCTCTCTTCTCAGATTACAGTTTCTGTTGGAAAAGATTTGTTGCATACCAACATGGAGAAGAAGAGTATTGGCCCTGGAGCTTCGCTTCATACATCTTTCTGAATTGGATAGAGCTCTGTCATATCCTTTGGGTTAGTAAGCACCTGAAGAAAATACTGAGACTGAAAACTAATGCAAAATCCTAGGAAAAGGAGGTTTGGAGGATCCCAACGACAGTGTTAGCAGAAATTATAGTAGGCAAAATAAACAAGGGCTTGATGCTGCATTAACAGAGGGCCAAGTGGGCAAGAGATTGCCAAGGACTATGCTCCTACATTGTGCCTTTTTGGCCAGGAGCTGAGAAGAGATTTAACAATACTCTCAGGGTTGTTTGGAGGTGGTTTTTTTTGTTTGTTTGTTTGTTTGGGTTTTTTTGTGCAAAGGAAAGGGTTAATTATTTCAACCCTTCACATAGATCAGCTACAAGTTCATTAGCTTGCTGTTTACTGGAACTATTTGATCCCAAAAGCTCATTCAGCTGTGTAAACATGATTTAACTACATTATTTTTGCCTCTCAGGACAGGGCCACTGATTTTAGTTCAATTCTGAGCAAGTTTAAAAGTCCAGATGGGTGGATTCGCTTTCAGGAACAGGGGTTACACATAAGAGTATCATATAGCTGAGATCTGCATTCCATATTTCTTGCAGTCAATACAGCTGCACAGGTTATTTGTATGGCCTGACATCCTACTATACAAGAAGGAGAAGGTGGTCTACTGTACAGGAGAGAAGACCAGGACCAGAGTTAATTTCCTGGCTCAGCCTCTCTTTGTGGGGCAAGCCAGTTTTGCTTGAACTGGTCCCAATATGTAGTGCGGGGATTAGCAGAACGGACGGCAAGAGATGGATGGATGCACGGAACTACGTAATAGAGATGGAACTTGAAGTCTATAGAAGGAGCAAAACTAACCTGTTTGCAAGATGTTATAAATGCCTTGTTTTATTTCTGACTGAGGAAAAGGTACACATTAGACTTCATTTCAGTTCCATCCACTGCAAACTTTGCATAGGTGTTTAATACCTCAGGACCTGACCTTTCTAATTCCATCTCTCTGAATAAGACATTCAGGTGACAGGATACACAGTCAGTGGCATCATCCAGTCAGTCAGCTAATCTAACAAAGTAGTTAATGCAACGTAACTGTTTAGGAGATGTTTTTGCCTTGGCTTTCAGCCTTCCTGAGTCTCCTAGTGTTTGAGATGGTTAAATAATTAAGCAGTTTATGCACAGTCAAATACATAGCGTGATGCTTACCAGAGAGCTGACTCAGCACGGCTCCCGGGGCAGCAGTACAAAGTGAATATGCCCTTCAGGTCTTGGTTTTAAAGAACCAGCCAACAAATGACCTCTCCCTCCTTGTGCCCCTAATCAACCTTGTTGATTACTGCAGAGTCCTGGTGGCTAGGAAGCTTGTACTGGGACACTCATGCTGAAAGTCAAGCCCTTGCTCAACTGCTTTGCTGCGTCAGCCAAACTCAAGAAACACTTAAAATGAAGATAAATAGGGCCCATCATCAGTAGTTATGACTAACCACCAACCCTCCACAGGATGAACGGGAAGGTCTATGTGCTCAGCATTTGTGAACACTCAGGCCCATTGTACTAATTACACAGAGGTATAATGATTTGAGTGAGTTCCAAGCACCTGCTCCAGAGAAATACGGATTGTTGTGTCAAGTCCTGGCCTCTTCGGCATAAGAAAGACACTAAGGGACCAGAGAGGGTTTGGTGGAGTACCACTGCAGTGGTCAGGGGGCTGGAGCACTTGCCCTACAAAGAGAGGCTGAGGGAACTGGCTTTGTTAGACCTAAAGAAAAGAAGGCTGAGTGGCATCTAACTGCTGTTTTCCACTACATAAAGGTAGTGAAGGCAGAGCCAGACTCTCCTCAAAGTTGCACAGAGGGACAACAAGGCAACAGGAACAGGCTGCAACAAGGGAAGTTCCAACTGGACAGAAGGAATAAGTCTCCCCTGACAGTGGTGCTGTACTGGAACAAGTGCCCAGGGAGCCTGTCAGACCTTCATCCCCGGAGACACTGAGGACTTACCTCTGAGCTACCTGATCTAGCTTTGGAGTTAGACATACTGCAAACATGGTGTTTGACCAGAGACCTCTAAGGCGCCTTTCTAACCCCCAAAATTCTGCCTTTCCACAGGACCTAGCTCCATTTTCCCTGGATTCAGCTATGCAATCTGCCATCTTTTAAATGCATCCTTTTAGGAGAGGCTTACATGGTACAGTAAATTCCAACATGCTACCCTGTTGTCTGGAAAGCTGTGTCCCAAGGGAGATTATCTAACATGCTGAAGGTGGATCAGAGTGATCTCTTGGACTAGATGCTGTATTTCAAACTCTGGATCACACTGAAGACACAGCTTAAGCTTTTGGCATCTGATTTTTAATGCTCATAATTTTTTCTTCCTGATAGGGGCTTCCTCCATTGCTGCCAAACTGAATACTTACAAACATCAGCAGCACGCTTTCAAGGTAACTTCATGCATCGTAACATTATTTACAAGACCAGAAAACCCAGTCCCTGGCAGTCTTTCCTACTACAGCCTTGGACAATGAGCTTCATACTGCCACCACAGAAGGCTCTTCTCGCTGGCTGAACATCATTAAGTATTGGACACAGCAGAAGGAACACATGGAAAACCGTGAGGAAGTTCAGATGATGCAGACAGGACACAGTGCTCTGGGTCTTTACAAGGCTTCCTGAGAGCCCGAGAGGGATGGGAACCATGCCTCAGGATCAGGCTTTTCATGTCTGCTGATTCTACAATCAGATTCTGTGAGTACCCTTTTTGTGAGGCCACTGAATAATATTTTTCCTGCTCTGCTCTGTTCCAAAAAAGCAATCGGAGCAATGCAGTCTGGTTTTAAGAATTTCTTATGAAGAACACTTTTATAGCTAGGTGTGTATGTTTCAGAAAATACTTTATGCTATTATTATTTATGTAATATTATTACTATATTACCACTTTTATTACTATATACTACAATTATATTACTAAAGACTATATTGCTTCATTTTAAGTTTTTATTCTGCCTGTTTTTATGACTGTAGAAACAACAAAATAAAAGGGAAAATGTCATCTCTCAGGAAACTTTGCTTGTCTTGTTTGCTTCCTGGACACACATTCTTCCCTTGTAGTGCCACGCTCTGGGGTCCCAGCTGCTCATTGCAAACTGGGGGAACACAGTAGAAAGCCTCTGCATTTCCAGTTGGAAGCATTGAGTGGAATGGTGAGAGAGGAGGTACTGAAAGCTCTGAGCTATCTCTACACGCCGAAGGCAAAAAGAAGATACAGGTGTGTTGGGCCTTGTAGCAGTTTTCAGTTTGCACTGCAAATAATGCAAAATATCAGAATGAATCATGGTGAGAGTGCCCTGTTTCATGGTTCCCAACCCCTCCAAGCAGGAGGGCCATTGTGTGATCCCACTGGGCAATGTGCTGCAGCTGGAATCTGCAACCTACAGAAGGCACAAACGATTATCTGAATAATAAGGCAGGGGCAGGTGGGAAATGTGCCCATCTCTCCTAGGTGATTAATGCTCATAGCATCCTTTGGCCATGCCAAAGTCTCCAGACATTACGCAGACAATCAAGGCAGCTAGAATAGTTGCAGGCTGAGGAAGCAGCTTCAGACCCTGCTGTCTGGGAGAGTATCTAAAGCTGAGCTGGGAAGCATCTCCTGCGTTAACTAAATAACATTACTCCAAGCAAGGTAGAGCACGGCTAAGTTTTCTTCCCCCTGT